TATATTTATTTCCACATTTATGTATTTATTACGTATTTATTTCTACATTTATTTATTTTCACATTTATTTCTACATTTCTTTGTCCATAATGAGGAGGGCTTGATTTACATCAGGAATAGTAATCGAGCCAGAGTAGGTGAGGGGTATGCTTTGAGGCCACAGTGACACCCTGTGGTGTGCCCAATCGAAATACAAGAAGTGTAGCCTACATGACGTGCCTGTTGATAGTGGGATGAATGACTTAGACGGGCAATATGGCCAAAACCTTATATCATGGGTTAAAGGGGTCCTATTATGCTTTTTCACTTTTTTAATTTTAGTCAGTGTGTAGTGTGTATGTTTGGGCATAAAAAAGATCTAGAAAGTTACAAATCTCAAAGTCCACTCCAAAGGGAGATATTTAGTTTTTAAAAAATCCTTTTTCAAGAACTACAGCAAACGGCTCGTTTGGACTACAGCGCTTGTTTTCTGGGCTTTATGATATCACAAAGCGGCTCATTAGAATTTCATTACAAATAATTCCCGCCTACAGAAATTCGAATGGTTGGGGGGTGGGGAGGGGCGAGGTCGAGGTTAGAACACTTGGTTGAGTGAGCGCATGAGACGAGACGACGACGAAGAAGAAGAGCTGTTGCAGAGAGAAGACGCTGCAGGCAGCGGAGCAGTGCCTGAATGTATATTGTAAATGAATATTCCGAAGTGATGTAAACTTCAACGGATTTCCCCTGCTCATGGAGTAGGGAGCAATGGACACTGTGTAGGGACCATGTCAATCGGAACACAGTTCATGCACGGAGCTCACTTCTAACGAGATGATCTGAATCAGGTGTGTTAACAAAGAGAGACGTGCAAAACATGCAGAGCGGGGGTACGCGAGGACTGAGAACCGCTGGTCTAGAACAATTCTTACAAATATAACACGACGTAGATGGGCGCCGCGGACAGATGCCGAAAGGTGCCGCCGGTGTGCCTACACTCATAGAAAATAAAGTATTTGAATTTTAAAGACGTGGCGCAACGCTGCGCTTCTCGTCCGGTGTGCGACTGCCTGAAACGCTGTTTTTTTTTTCCACTTCCGAAAGCGGATGATGTCAGGAAACAGTGGTTGCAATTTACTTTTTAACTCTGTTCCTGAGCATTATAACCCCAATTTGCTATTGTGTGGTGCGCATTTTACTGAGGACAGCTTCCACAACATGAGGTGCAAATATGGCGGATAAACAAAACAGTTTCCCAGAACTCAACGCGGTGTTACGTCACATTCTCATTCCTAATTGTGTGCTGCGCATTTTACTGAGGACAGCTTCCACATCATGCGTGAGAAGTGCCGGATTCGCCAAAAGCTTTTGTTGAAAGACAGAGCAAGGGGGCGTGGCAGTACTGAAACACCGTCTAAGCTGTTCGCCAATCACAACGCACTGGGACAGCTAACCAATCACATCACATTTTGTTTTTCGGAAGGTGGACCTTCATCAAAGCCGGAACTAATCGAGCCGTTTGTGCCAAGATGGGGAGAAAGGTATTTTAATAATGTAAATTATGTGAAAAATAATGCGTTTTTCGAACCACCAAGCATGAGAGCATGTTCTAGGATACCCCCAAAACAAAATCAAAACTTTGTAAAAGAGCATAATAGGACCCCTTTAAGTCATTTAATATCGCCTGTATGTATACTACGGAACAACTAAAGGGACATGTTGGTAGGAAAAATACGGGGTGGGAGGAAAAAATATTTCCATTTTCAGAGGGTCTCTCGACATAAGCTGATCGCATTGGGGAAACACCTTTCTCCTTAAATACTGAAGCCTAATTCGCTTAATGCCATTGCATCGCAATGGCCAATGGCGCTCGAGCGTGTGAAAAGGGGACAGTAAAGCACCCCATATAAGTGGCGGCGAGTGGCATTTCATCAGAATCTTTCCTTCTTATATATATATATTATAATGCTTAGGTCTTTGCTGTTGATTCATCACCAAAGAGGATTGTGGAATACACTTTGCTAATCCCTTTATGCGTTCCGGTGGAGAATGGATTGAAGATATCATTTCGATTTACCCGATCTGCGTGGGGACTTTGATAAGCACTGGCTGTGCCGCTGTCTTTTATACTGGTAGTAGCATTGCTTACACTACCCGCTATATATGTGCTGGCCCTGCTGCCGTGTGTTGCCTTTTATGATATTCACAGTCTCAAATCCAAAGAGATATTCTTTGTAAAAGTTAAGAGTCAACCACGCCTACCTAAAATGGCTTGTTCTAACACGCCCCCACATGTCTACGTCACGATGTGGGAAGATTTGCATAACGCCGCCCAAATTTTCACGCAAAGAAAGAAGGTGTAACTTTTATTCTCGCAGTAGTATTGTTGCTGCCGCCATGTCGTGAAGGTGCTGTGTGTTTCGTTGTGAAAGCGAAACTACTTTGTTTGGCCTTCCAAAAGAGGACGATATCCGCTTTGTCATGCCTAGGGCTTTCACCGTGGACGAAGCGGAGTCCAGCCCGGGGTCGTCACATGTGGTTGCTGTAAGCCCACCTGCTGCTCCTTCATCGAATCCGTCGGCCACGCCGTTCTCAAGCCCTTCGGCCTCCGCTCAACTCTAGTCCGCCGTGTGTTTCATTGTGAAAGCGAAACTACTTTGTTTGGCCTTCCAAAAGAGGACGATATCCGCTTTGTCATGCCTAGGGCTTTCACCGTGGACGAAGCGGAGTCCAGCCCGGGGTCGTCACATGTGGTTGCTGTAAGCCCACCTGCTGCTCCTTCATCGAATCCGTCGGCCACGTCGTTCTCAAGCCCTTCGGCCTCCGCTCAACTCTAGTCCGCCGTGTGTTTCATTGTGAAAGCGAAACTACTTTGTTTGGTCTTCCAAAAGAGGACACGACTAGAAATCAGTGGTTAAGTTGTATTTACAACACTGTTCCAGAACAGTTCAACCCAAATATTCATCTGTGTGCAGCACATTTTATAGAGGTCTGTTTCCTGATCCTGGAAGAGTAGACTACAATGCCGGCTGTTCTGACTCTCAGACTGTAAGTACGTTTTCATTTAAAGGATTTGCCACTGATGATTCAAACGTGAGTTTTAAGCAGTGTAGAGTAGCGCTTGTTTGTCATTTCTCCGATCACAAATGCAGACATGGTTTTATGTTTACGCGGCGCGATGCAACGCAGCACATAAAAAGACAGTATAAGTCATTATAATCCGTAATTATGTCCCCACTGGATGCAACAAATGCCTCATTTGTAATGGGTTTTCATATTTTTGAGTCGTCGCTCCGGCCGGACAGGCCATCACAGTATGGTAAGGGGCGTAACATTTCCGTCACACGCTTGAGGTATTTGACCAATCACAACGCACTGGATAGCTGGCCATTCAGAGCACACCTCGCTTTTCAGATCGATGAGCTTTGTAAAAATTGATGCGTTTCAGAAAGGCGGGGCATAGAGGAGAAACAATAATGTACAGTATGTGGAAAATAATGTTTTTTTTTACTTTAAACCACATAAACACATCTCATTACACCAAATACACAGAATAATGTTCTTTTTAGCAACATCATATGACCCCTTTAAGTGAACAAGAAATAAAACTATCTGCTTGTACACATTGAGTTCTGTTTGAAAGACTGTTATTAAACCAACCACTAGCATGTTCAGATAATCCGATACTAACAAGGCATTGTATCGGCAAGGAATGATCAACAATATCAAATGCTTTAGATCAGGGGTGCCCAAACTCGGTCCTGGAGGGCCGATGTTCTGCAGAGTTTAGCTCCAACTTGCCTCAACACACCTGCCAGGAAGTTTCTAGTATGCCTAGAAAGAGCTTGATTAGCTGGTTCAGGTGTGTCTAATTGGGGTTGGAGCTAAACTCTGCAGGACACCGGCCCTCCAGGACCGAGTTTGGGCACCCCTGCTTTATATAGATCAATGAATAAGGCTGCACAGTGTTTCTGGTTGTCAACAGATTCAATAAAGTAATTTTAATACTTTTAAGGCTGCTGTAGTTGTACTATGTTGTTTTCTAAAAACCAGATTGAAAATCAGACAGGATACTATTAACAGAAAGAAAGTCCATCAATTGATTGTTGACTAAAGTTTCGAGGACTTTGGCCAAGACAGAGAGCTTGGAAATTGGCAGGTAATAATTTGGGAGTGTAGGATCTCCACCATTAAACAGGGAAAGAACAAAAGCTGATTTCCATATAAGTGGAATCAATTTCATTTGAAACGAGAAAGGTTAAAAATATGAGTCAGTGGTGGGGCAATAAATCAGCTGCTATAGGTTTAAAAAAATAAGTTTCCAATTTATCAGGACCTGCCGATTTTGAAACATCAATAGATTTAAGGGCTTTGCACACCTCAGAAATTGCAACTGGTGAGAAATTGAATGACTGACTAGACATAAAATTCTCTGACTGAACAATTGAGGAGTTCGCATGAGCACCATTAATTGAATCAAATAAAAAGCCAGAAGCTATAAAGTGTTCATTGAAACAATTAAGCATTTTTACTTTATCAATGATTGCATGAGAACCTTTCATAATACACGATGGAAGTTCTATACATGTATTATTTTCAGTTAATGATTTAACAGTTTTCCAAAATTTTGATGAATTGTTTAGATTGCTTGATGTTTGTATAAGGAAATGCTCAGCTGTAGCTTTTTTTTCTTCTTTCAATCTGAATGTAAATCTGTTTTCTAGTTTTTGCCCATGCCAGGTTGCGCTCATGAAGCATATTTGATAAAAGAGGAGAAAACCATGGATTATCCCGACTCTTTACCCTGTACCTTTGTTTGTTTTGGCCATGTTTGTCAACATGAGCAGAAAAAATATCATAAAAGAATTCCTAGGCTATTTCAAGGTCAGGAATTAAATTAATTTGTTCCCACTCCAAGTTATTCAAATCGTATGGGAACCTTTGTTCTGAAAAATGTTTCATATCACGCTTGGTTATAATGCGTGGTTTGGTTTTTGGAATTATTGTGTTTCTGAACCAACAGTGTTTACTGATGTAATTCGCAAATATGGACGCAGTTGATTGCTTGTGCGGAACGTTTGTTAAAATTAAATCAATTAGAGATGATTTTTCTGGACATTTTAAATTCGGTCTGTCAACAATCTGAAAAAGGTTTAAAGCATCGCAGTAGTTTTTAAATTCATAATTTGGTGAATGCAACCAATTCCAATTTAAATAACCAAGAACTACTAATTCTTTAACATCAAGATCTGAAAAAATCTGGAATAAAGAAGGAAGAGCACTACAATCAGCAGATGGTGTCCTATAGCAGCCAACAACTGTTATGCTGAGATATTTTGAGACCTCAAGATTAAGAGCTAAAAATTCAAACTGTTTACACACCGATTTAGAGAGAAATATTTTAACATGAAACCCTTTTTATTTTTTTTAAATAAAAATTGCTACCCTCCACTAGTGTTGCTTTCCTCAACGAAAATTATGACTAAATATCGTCGTCAAACTAACCTTTATCACGTGACGAAAACGAGACGAGACGAAAATGCTGGTCATGTGACGATGACTATAAATAAATGTATAATGCAATAAAGAATGAGAATGTGACGTAACGCTGCGTTGAGTTCTTGTTTATCCGCCATATTTGCAGGATAGCGCTGCCTTTCCACTATTGAGTTTAGGGCAGTATTTGATTGTTTGTCGTGATTGTGAAAAATGTACCCGGTGTATGTCATTCATACTGCATCGATAATTGCAATAGTAACTCAGATCATCGTTCTGAGAGAAAACTGGACAATGCTATATGTTTTTTGCCTTTTCTGTGTGTAAAAACACCAAGGGAAGGAGGTCGCGGAGAATACGCCGAATAGTAAATCTGTTAATGTCACTGATTAAACCCACTGACTCTCACTCAATAAAAGAATCACATTGATGTGTGTTTTTGAAAGTTTTGATTTGGTTGGTTTAATAGTTAACATTACCTTCTTTGCGAGCATGACTCTCACTCTCACTAGGCTTGTGAATTAGCAGAACTTGGAACAGAACAGGGGACTTTCTAAAATGCTTTAAGTGGCTTACTGTACCAAGACAGTGATAAAAACAAAATTGTAAAGCATATACTATGTGCAGATATGCATATAAGATCAAAATGTGAACGCAACGCGTTTATTTACACGTTAAGCATTTCCCTTTCATATAAAGAACGCGCTTAATGCACCGAGACCGTGATATTTAAAGACCACATTCTGTACACACATCTTACTAATAAATATGTGGAAAAACAGATGAGCCCAAAATATGAACTTTAGAAGTCGCTGTCTTAATCCAGAAGCGCTTTCTACATTACAGTTTTCTAAAGAGAGGAAAACGCTTTACATTTAAACATGTCGCGTTGATATTCTGGCTCATCTGCATGTCTTTTAGCATCACTGTCTTAGCACATTAAACCAGCGTTTGAAAATGCTACAACACTTTCCCCAAGCTCCTAGGGATTTGATTTTGCTTGTCATTTGTTGAAATAAATATAAAAAGTACAGTGAGTTCGTGACTGTTCGCTGAATGTGACCCACAATCTGTGATTCTCCTCCGTGGCCATGGAAAAATTTATATTTATAATGACAACCATTATACTTTGTCATTTAAAACTTTCCAACAAAGAAATGGATGGATTTCTGTCAGCTTGTTGAACACACTTTTATTTGGATAATGTACCATATGATGACTGAAGCAGCAGCGAGCGTCCAGCGGTTTTCACGCTAATCGGGTAAACACTGTAACGTTAAACAAAATTCTACCAAACCTAAGAGAGAAATGCAGTGCATATCATGCAGTGCGATAAAATAGCTTCTCTTCCCTGCAAACGATACAATGAAGAATGAATGGTTGTTTAACTTAAAGGCAAAAACAAAACAAAAGATAAGCACTTATCCTTATAGAGAATGAGAAGTAACCATGGGAACGGATAGCGTATCCTGCTAATATGGCGGCGCCTTCCCGAAATGCAATGCGGAGTGAAAAGATCGTGACGTAACTCCTCATTCTCTATATCATTGACGAATAAAAACGAGACTAGGGGGGTGGCGCAAGATGGCGACCTGAACGGTTGTGTTGGGACGAGCTCCGAGGCGTTTTTGAGGAGTTTGCATCTTCTGGGCGAATTTGTTTTGTATTTACAAGGTGGGGAGTGAGAACTCTCTTTAAAAGTAGAATGCTTTAACTTTTCATGTATAAAAACCTCAACAGCAGACTGTGACGTATATAGATAAATCAGACTGCCAGCCCACGTGTGAATTTTCCAAAATGCCAAAGAACAAAGACAGAAAGTTACTTTCTTCGCTTTTCGAAGCATCATCTGGAGACTTTGATTCATCACCAAATACTCCAACAGGCAGTCCTCTTTCAAAAAGAACTTGTCAGGAAGAACCCAAAGTCTCTAATGCTATATACTTCGTGCTGTTAATGCCCTTACGGATCGCTTTTCAGCGATGGAACAACAAATCGCCCAGAACTCGGTCGCTATAGTAAATATTTCAAAGACGGCTGATTTTGTGGCCGAGGAGATGAAATCGCTATCTGCAAGGGTCAAGACTAACGAGAACAAGGTGTCGCAAATTGAGCAGGTGGTCCGGATGGTTCAAGGCAAAAGTGATCAAGCCGAGATCTACAGTAGGAGATGGAATTTGAGGCTAAACAACCTTAGAGAAACAGAAGGAGAGAATATCAGAATCAAAGTGCTTTGATAATGGGCGGTGATTTTAATGATGCCCCAGATGATTTCTTAGATTGTTTCCCTCCACATACGATACCTTCTTCGTAATTTAAATTTACTACCTTTCTATGTACCCATCTTTCTATAGTGGATATTTGGAGATTTTTGAATTTGAATGAAAAGTGTTATTCTTGGAGTAACTCCTCTAGATCTTTGCAGTCAAGGATTGATTTATGGTTAATCGACCCAGGATGTGTCCAATATGTTACTGAAGTTACTTACTGCGATGCACCTTTTTCGGATCATAAAATGATTGTTTTGGTACTCTCTGGTTGTGATATTAAAAATAATAGTATGCGAGGCTACTGGAAATTAAATAACAAGTTGCTTAGTAATGAGGGCTTTATTACCCAGGTTCGAGAAGAAGCACAACAGATTTTTGGGAGTAAGCAAATGACACATGTTAAGAAATGGGAGTTATTTAAATTTAAATTTAGGCAGTCTGCTGTATATTTTAGTAAACAAGTTCAAAAGAATCACTTGAATAAGGAAAAGGCACTTATGACAGAATTAGACTTACTTTTGAAAAAAGATAATCTTACAGAAGATGAAAAAGTCATATTGGAGACATTAAAAACTCAAATTGATCAGATATATATGAATACTGCCAAGGGGGCATTCATTCGTTCTAGAGCTAAGTGGTTGGAAAAGGGGGAAAAGAACACAAGTTATTTTTTTTCACTTGAAAAGCGAAATTATAAAAGACAAATGATCTCCTCTCTTAAAATTGATGATGTACTCACTTCGAATCCAAAATTGATTTCAAATTATGTGGAATATTTTTACTCTCAGTTATATGAATCTGTATTTGAAATGGATAAATGTTCTGACTTCTTTGAGTCAGTTAAGCAATTGGTCTCATCTATTTCTATTCAGTTTCGAGACCTTTGTGATAAAAAACTAAGGAAGCAAGAGATGGTTACAGCTATTCGTTCAATGAAAAA